GTCTGTTCCTGCGAGCTGCTATCTCTTCACCTCCTTAAATCTCCATCATGCTGTTTCTTTTTTTCTCTCACCCTTCTGTCCCTGTCCCTCTTTCGCCCCTCACTCCCTATATAATACCTTCTCCCTCCCTTCCCCAGTTGTCTAACATTCTTCACACCCCCCCCTCCTTCTTATTCATTATTTTGCACAGCGTCTTTCCCCTCCACTTCCCCTCTTTCTCCCGCAGACACTTCTTATTCCCTTGCTTTTTGACACACATATATACCCCTCTCTTTTTCACACGCACACCCTCTCTCTTTACCTCTCTCTCTTGCTCTCTCTCTCTCTCTCTGTCTCTCCAGGGTACAGTCTGTGCTGACAGCCTGTTCCTCCCGAATTGATTTCTACCCAGAATGCAATAAAAGTCACTGAAGAAAGAAGAGAATCAAATGAGTAACATCAGCTTGTCAATCACTGCTGTTGGCGTATGTGTAATTTGGGTTGGCCTGCTCTACACACATACATGTGTAGGTAGAGAGTTCATTTACCTGTCTAAGCATAACAGAGACGGTGTGTTCTTCACATGCATGTGAAAGGCTATGAGGAATGCTCACTCTCTGTATTCAGCTCTCAGTGTAGTATCCGTGACAGGCTGAATGGATTTCCTGCCACTTTGATGCCTTTTCTATAACTGATAATCATTAGCCGTGTTGCCGTACAGAGCCATGACAGAGCCATGGATGTAGCCTGCTGCAGACAGGAGCTGACTGGCCATCCAGATGATACCCCATATTTGCAGAACCCCCATGAGATGTTTAAGGCTATAGGCAATGGTGTGAGATGGTTAAAGCTAATGCGAGGAACTTTTATTTTGTGTTGATTTTGGCGGTCCATGCGGACAAAAGTGCCGGTGTCCCCGAGCCCCAGAGTCCCTTTAAAAAACGTCTCAATCTACTTCAGCAGAACTCTAACAGTCCGCTCTGCTCAGTCCTGGTTCTCCCGTGGCCTCCCTTCCCTCCAGCGGGCCCAGCAATGTGGCCTGGATCTCCAGCAGCGTGGTTTCGGTGATGGCTCCCAGCGGGGATGAAGCTCTGCTCCTGGCCGGAGGATGAGACGCTGCTCTTTTCCTGCCGCCAAATCTTTCGACTTCCGCCAGATCTGGGTTTGTTGACGGTGAGCTGGTCGCTGCTGGAAACCCCGCTGGAGTCTGAGCTGAAGGAGTTTCTGGTGAACCTGCATGATCAGATTTCACCTGAAATTCTACCTGGTGGCACAGATGACAAGCATTAACAACAACTAGAAGTAGCCAATATTCTCCCTGATGGTCTTGTTTTCTTATGTCGGTCATATAGAGGCATCAGTATTGAGACTGTTTCATCACCAATTAAAAGTTCCTCACAGTAACTTTAAGGTTAGACGGTTGACGTGTAAATTTGATTATAAAGTCAAAATCGAGAGAAGAAGCTTGGGAGTTTGTTTTTTCTCCGTAGGTTTCGGTGTCCTTTTCCGAAAGATGCTGATACAAGAACCATGGTTACAAAAAGTTACGGAAACAGTTCCTGTTTACCGTCGGAGAGTGGGAAGTCCGGAACGAGGTGGAGGGTTAGACAGAGAGACAGAGTGTGTGTGTGTGCAGCTCAGTGTGCAATAGCTCCACGTAATGAGCATCTGGACTGAAAGACAATCCTCTTCCTTATCGTGTGTGTGTGTGTGTGTGTGTGTGTGTGTCAGCAGGAGGTCAACGCCATCCAGTGGGTAGCAGCTGTCCCTTTTCCTCTCCAGTCTCCCAGATTACATGAAGTGAACCTCAGACACACTGATGGGTGGGTCCCAGACTAGGTGTTCATTGATCAGTCTGGAAGGTCAGAGTCGGGAGGAGACGGAGCGGTTGGAGGAGTGACGTGAAGGGTGACCCAGGAAGAGGGAGGGAGGGGGGGCGACGCTTGTCGATCCCCTCCCATCTATCCTCTCTCCTTGATACCCTCAGTGCAATAAATCATCTCTTTACACACGTTGAGTGATTACCTGTTACGTAAATATTAATGTTCCTGTAGGAAGAGGTTTGTAATTATATTTACAAGGTGACAGTGAACAAAGCAGACCTCTGCACATTTATATTTCTATGTATATGCTACTTTTACAATCTGAATGACATGGTGAGGACTAACATCTGGTGCAAATCAATGTGTAAATCTGATCAAAACGCACACACACACACACGGGTTTATTCAAGTGAGCCCATCGTCTTTGCTGCACTACTCTTCTCTCTCTTTGAATAAGAACTGCCATTTATTTATTATCATCTGCAATATTCTGTGCGATGAAGTCATTCATCATGAACTGCACTTTGCTGCTGCTGCGACTGCCTCTTGGCGATCATCACAGCTTCATTTAATCTCATCTAATGTAATGATTGGAAGCGCCATAATGAAACACAATTCTATGCACAGTATGTTCTCAAAAAAGAAAAGAATCAGCTGGGAAGTGTGGAAGGAAAACAGCAACTCTTGTGTGTGAGTGTTATATTAACTGTTCACTGACAAAGTGCTGAACCTTGAATTCCCCTAAAATATCTGGGAATAACATATGTGTAAAAACAATATATGATGAAGTGAGGTTTTATCATCGCTGCTGTCTGTTAAAGGAAGTGTTTCACATTTTGAGAAATACACTTCTGCGCTTTCTTGCTGTGAATAAGTGTTCAGACCAAAAACTGAAACTGAAACATGAAACACAATCCAGGAAGTCCAGTTTGATCCGTGAGTTTAGAGACTTATTAAAAGGTAAAACAATGCACAGCAGCTTATAACACTGTGAGACAAGATCTTTACAACTCTGGACATTGATTTTGTTGCAACAATCGTGAGTTAAACAGTACAAATACAGCTTTATTCATTATAACCATTGGGAATGTGCGTGCCATATAACGCAACGTCTTACCGGATGATGTTGCGTTGTGGCAAACGTTTGAGGCCAGGTCCAGCCGAAAAAAAGTCCTGCACATAATGTCCCGTAAAAGTTAAACTTGTGTTTTTTACTCTTCAGTTTTAGTGCGGATAAAACAAAACTTTAACATTAACTTTATTTTGCCAAAGGAGCTGGTAGCCAGGCTAGCTGTTTCCCCCTGTTTTCAAGTCTTTGTGCTAAGCTAAGCTAACTGGCTGTAGCTTCATATTTACCGTGCAGACGTAAGAATCTTCTAAATCTCAGCATGAAGGCGAATGAGGATATTCCCCAAAATGTTGAACTAAGTCACCGTTGGTTGCCGTTTTACTTTTACTTGACGTTGTTGCACACAAGCACTTTAATGTTATTTGTTGATATGCACACAGCGTATCAACACCATCAGCTTCTCTATTCTGGGAGCAGATACCGCTTCATTTGTACCTCATGAGTGAAAACGTGTCACTAATCCTACGAGACCGTCTCTAGCATGTATGTACTGTATATGTATGGATGTTTTATTCTAAAAGAAAAAGGAAGGAGACAAACCAGAGGTTGATCATGCTTCACAAGTTACCCCTCCCATTTTCATGCAAACAAGGATCCCTAATCCATAGAGGAATGGCTGTAAATAAGCGACACACATCCATGTGAGGATCTGCATGAGAACGTGTTCCAGAATCATATATTGACATTTACATATCAATGAAATGTGTGCATTTTTGTACATATAAATGATTTAAAGGAGTAGAGGGGCTCCTTATGGGGGCTGAACTCACTTGATCTACATAATTCTTTTCTTTTCATTTGAAGGAGCCGGTTCACCCGTTCACCTTTGATGATTAATTCAAAGCGAGGAGGCAGATTAAGCATTTCAAAGTATGTAACGAGGATAAAAGCGCATGAGAGAAAGAGGGATCAGGAGCGGAAGGAGCTAAAGAGAGAGAAAGTGATACAGATGGGGAAAGATGCAGTCGGTTAGTTCTGTGTCTTTGTGGGATCTCTCCTGGGATGCAGTCCTCTGAGGTCTCCCTGCTTCATGTCGGGTCAAGATCTTTTTGATTAGGGGTGACTGAGGATAAAAGCACAAGAGGGGGGCTGCTGGGAGAGTTGAGGGGGAAGTAGGCAAAAAGTGAGGAGAGAAGAATAGAGGATGAGTGACAGAAGATGGGGTTGAAGGAAAGAGGAGGAAGAAAAGGAGGCGTCTGAGTTTTGACGGGAAGATGAGGTGGACAGACAAGGATTTCACGCTGTCTGCGAACACGTCGAGCCGGAGAGGGAGGGGGCTTTAGAGGAGCAGTTATAGGAAGGATGTTTCTCAACCACCATCCTCAAGTGTGCCAAAGTTTAGTGCGGCATAGTTTCACAGCTCACCAAAAAAAAAGAAGAAAAAAGGGCAAAACTGAGAGGGTTTCGTGTGTCAAGAATAACAAGAGTCAGCAGTTGTTGGTGTGCGTCTGCGATAGTGTGTGTGCAGCTGTCGAAGTGACACGCACACACACATACACACAAATGTCGTGGCAGACACAGAGGGTTGCTTCCATAATGGCTCTCTGAGGGGGGAGTATGGAGGGGGGGGGGGCTCTACATCATAGGCTTGATATTGATTACAGAGACCGTGATAATGCATGGGCGACATCGGATACTGCAGCCATATGTCCGCATGAAATCACAGTGACGCACAGATGCGCACTCACACACACACACACACACGCACGCACGCACACACACACACACACACACACCTTATCTCTCCCCGCTGCAGAAGATGCCCTCCTTTTATTTTTTAGCAGCGTGATGTTTAAACACAAGTGTGTGTGTGTGTGTGTGTGTGTGCGTTTCCATGCATTGTAACACACATGCACATGTTATTGTGTGGGCAGTGGCTAATTATTGCAAAATCAGTGTGATCTTATCAAACCAGTGTCATAAAATCCGCTCTGCAGAGCACCATGCGCGGCTTTTTTGAGTGTGCTGCGCCTTTAAACCGCAGGGCGTGGCTCTCCTACTACGACCCGCCTTTTATGCATAGCAGCCAACTCTCCTTCCCCCGGACCATTTAGTGCAGTAGTCGGCAAAAGAAAGTGACCACAGCCGAAGCACACACAGCCCTTCTGCACGGCGGGACTGCAACCAAACGGAATCTTTCACCCCACCACAACTGTTTAAAAACCGGAAGAAGACGCCCAAGCGGAACAGCTCGCATTTGAGGCAGAATACACGTAAGGAATCATTCTGGACGCTGCTTTTTTTTTTTTTTTTTTTTTTTTTTTTTTGGACACTGATATTACGCACGGTGGATCTATGAGGACGCTGGCGGGTTTCTCACTCTCGACACCAGGTAATAAACTCACTTTTATTCCACATCAACTTCACAAAGGACGTTTAACAACACTGGCGCGCGATTGGACGTTAAATGATTTTTTTTTTCTTTTTCTGCAGCCTTTCTTACTTAGCGCGCCTGCTGCGTAGTTAAACTGATTGAGCTCGAGGAGGAGCAGAGTAAACGACTTTGCATACGACTCCGCTGGAGGAGCGGGATCATTGGCAGGCAGGACGGGTACCTGTCTGTCCAATTAATCTACATCTATCTAATTTAATCGCAGTCAGCAGAAAATAGAAACCCGCTCCTCCTTCTCTCTACTACTAAAGCAGCGCTATGTGATGAAACGCTGTTGCGAAACTTCTCAGCAACAACATTGAGTAGTTTAACTTTGCTACGTTTGAGCATCGGGTTATTTGTATTTTAGCCCCTAAATGTGTCCATGGTTCCCAGTGACCTTCTTGTTGTAGTCTTAATTGGCACACCGTGCTCTGATTGGCTACAGGTATTTCGTTTAACTGTTGCACCACAGTGGGATGTTTCCCTGAAGGGCAGGGCAATATTTAGCTTTTAAAAAAAAAAACATTATTTAACCATATGCTGCTGTATGCATGGACAAGTTCCCCCCAGAGGGCAACGTGTCTATGGACAGATGTGTGATCGTTTTGGTGAGAATGTAGGTTAAATTGTGACACTGTTGGCTCTATCTCTCTCTGCAGACAGAGGGAGCAGGGAGTGATCCACCCCCCCCCCCCCCCCACCCCCTGCCTGCAGCCCCCATGCCGGGCATTAGCAACACCGCGCCTCGTTATGAAAACTGGGACATGGACCACCTTGACCACTACCAACATTATTTTTATGACGACCACCACGACCCGGACGAGGATTTCTTCAAGTCCACGGCGCCCAGCGAGGACATATGGAAGAAATTCGAGCTGGTCCCGACCCCGCCCATGTCCCCTATCCGGGCGGTGGAAGGGTCGGGCAGGGTCGGGCTGCTGTGCCCGTCTCTGGGGGACAAGCTGGAGTGGGTCTCTCAGTTCTTGGGGCAGGAGGACGAACAACAGCAGCAGCAGCAGCAGCAGGACCTGCCCTGCAAGCTGACCGCGGCCAATGACTCCTTCGGGAACCTGAGCTCGATCATCATCCAGGACTGCATGTGGAGCGGCTTCTCCGCCGGACAGCAGCTGGAGAGAGTGGTAGGGGAGCGCTGCGCCCCCTGTCCCGGGACGACTGGGGCCACCGCCGCCAAAGTCGTGGCCGCGTCCGCAGCCGCGTCCACGGGGAGGGCGCAGTGCGCGCCCGCCGACGCGTCGACCATCAGCGGACTGGCGGCGGACTGCGTGGACCCAGCTGCGGTGCTCACTTTCCCGTTAACCGGTGGCTGCAAGAAGCGAGAAGTGTCCTCTGGTTCAGAGTCTCACACCGACTCATCAGGTCAGTGAGAATATGCAACGTAGTACTTTTATTTATGGTAACATGTCGCTATAATAAACGCTTTCTTTGACTTCTAGTTCGGCTGTGTTGAAGTGAGGTTTCTGGTTGTAACTAAAGCCTATTTTTAGGTTAATATGTGTCTGAGACACTCGATAGATAGTTAAGTGACTATAATCACACTGTATGGGAGCTTTCTCGTAGTGTTTTAATAATTTCCCTCCAATTTTCCAAAAGCACATGTACTTTTTTGTTTGAAGTTTATTTTGTGAGGGTTACTCGTCATTTCTCTCTCTCCTGTGTAGTTAATACGTCGCTTTGATTGGCCATTATCTAGCGCTGAGGATTGGCAATGGCACATGATGACTGCATTGCGTTACCTTGGTGCATGCAACACATGCTTCATGACACGCCCATTGAAACATCTGCTGCTTGGCCCAGCTCCAGCAGACCAGCTGCTACCTCTCCCTGATCCTCCAGTCTGACTTATGATAACAATATCCTCTCCTGCTCCCCCCGGCTCACATTTGGCACAAATTCAATGAGTATTCCTTATTATTGGAAGTTTATGCAACATAGAGGCGAAGAAGCATCAACCCTGTTTTTAATTTTATTTTTTAGTCACCACATCTAGCCAAAGACTCCAGAGCCTTTTTACTTTTTTCCATTTCCACTCTGTGAACCCCATATGATGGAGACTGGCATGCAGGCTGCCATGTGATCCCGGGCCATGCATAATGGTGTGTGTGGAATGTCACAAAGGGGGGAAAACTTGTTGCTGCATTCCTCCGCTCAACAGGCTGCGGCGCCAATTGTGTCAGTGGGTGGATTTCGGTCCGAGCCAGCCCGGGCTGTGAATAGAGCGGGATTAGCCGTTTAGGAGGTCGGCTAGGCGTGCAGAATTCTTTGACGAGAGTGCGAGGCGGCATTGTACGCCGTTCCAGGGGATAATGCGCGCTCAAAGAAGAGCATGAGCAATCATCGGAAATGTGTGTGTGCTTTGAGCTCCGGTGTAGGGCCACTTGAGGGAATCAATTCTGTGTGCCTTGTAATATGAGATTACATCTGCTGTTGCACATAATAGACCGGCGCCCCTCCCTCCAAATCTCTTCGTCCGTCCCCTCTTTACTGTGTTATTTGATATAGAGATTATTATTTTCTGAGCAGTCAAATAGGTGCAATTGCTTTAAGAGTGTGTTTCAGTTTACAAGAGTATTGAAAATCTCCTCAGGGTCAAGTCGATAAAGACCTTTCCTCATATTTAATGCCTCGTTTCTTCTCTGGTAAACCGAGCAGCTAAGTGGCTTTAAACGTGCGCAGCGTCGGATATTAGTCGGCTCTTTTTGACAAGAAGACTTGTCGATTTTTACACCTGAGGGCTTTCCAACCCCACCCGTCGCTGCCTCTCATCCTCTGTCTGTCAATCATCACTGTGACAGTGTGTGTGGGGGTTTTATGAGGCTGTGTGGCTTCATTTTTTACACAAGCATTTAATTGGTTTAAGGAGGCACGAGGCCAGAGCGAGCGTGTCCAGGGAGGTGGCTCCTTATTGTGACTCAGCTTTTCAACTTCAGCTGACAATCTGCAGTCATTACCACATTTAAAAAAAAAAAAAAAAAAAAAAAAAAAAATTGCATAGTTTAATAGCTTCTCTCCTGCTCTTTTCAGATGATGACGATGACAAAGATGAGGACGAAGAAGAGATTGATGTGGTGACGGTGGAGCACAAGCAGCAACGCAAACCTCGTCGGCTGGTCAACGCTCGCAAACCAGTGACCATAACGGTGCGAGCGGACCCCCTGGACCTCGGCATGAAGCGTTTCCACATCTCCATACACCAGCAGCAGCACAACTATGCCGCCCCCTCCCCGGACACGCTCCCTGTGCCGGTCGAGCCGCCTCGGAAGAGGGTCCGGCAGGAGGCCTCCTCCCAGCCGCACCAGAACTCTCACTACTACCAGCCCCGGTCCGGCCACGCCCCTCTGAACTTAGACAGCAGGAAGTCTGCTGGAGCCCGGTCCGAGTCGCCCGACCTCAGCGCCTACTCTCCTACCTCCTCCCCGCCACCTTCGTCTCCTCCCTCTTCCTCCTCAACCCCCCACTCCCATAGCTCCCCCTCGAAGCCCCACTCCTTCTGCCACCTCTCCAGCCCCCAGTCCTCAGACTGCGAGGACACAGACAAGCGCAAGGCTCACAACTTCCTCGAGCGCAAGCGGAGGAACGACCTGCGCTCGCGGTTCCTGTCGCTGCGGGACGAGATCCCGGGCCTGGCGAACTGCCCCAAGACGCCGAAGGTGGCGATCCTGACGCGAGCCACCGAGTACCTGCATCAGCTGCATGTCAGCGAGCGGCAGAAGGCTCAAGAGAGGAAGCAGCTGAAGTCCAGGCAGCTGCAGCTGCTGCAGAGGCTGGCGCTGCTCAAACGCTCCTGAGCGCGAGCGCGCGCACACACACACACACACGCACACACACACACACACACACTGGACTGGACTACATGAAGGAGAGGAGACACTAATGTTCACTTTGAATTGGTCACGTTGGAATTGTGCGGGTGGATTTGTTTTTGTTTTCTATTTTTGTGGTTTGCACATTAGCTTCTGAGTGATTGACAAGGCCGCAAGCCGGACAGGACAGCGAGCTGGGGAGTGATCGTACGGGGCAAATTAATATGTCCATGGCTACTCAATATAGATTTGCCCAACTGTTAGACTTCCCCTTGCTGAAAGAAAAACGCTCAAAACTGTTGCTCGCTACGGGAAGGCTCGCTGCGACTGCGGCAGCTTCTAGTTGATAAACTGCTACAACTGTGCTGTCTAACTGCTGCATGTTCTAGTCAGACGGTTCCTTGATTGTGATGGGGCTCGATGTCTCCTCTGTCTGTCTTCAGTCTGTCTTCAGTCTAAAGCCCCCCACACACACTCACTCTATAGTCTCCTTCACATTTCGTTTTCTCTACAGTCCCCTGCTCCTTAGCGCTTGGCTTACATACAGCTTGCACATTTTGTTATGGAGCTGTGCCTTGAAAATACGTTGCCACAAAAGGCATTGTTTGAGATTTGTCCTATTCTCTGCAAAAACACTATAAAGTTCTTTATTATTGTTGTGCCATGGAGACCAGCCAAAAGGTGAATGTTGGCTTCAAATTATCAACCAAAAGAAACTTCGGGAATGGCTTCAATTTAAATCTGTATGTTTTTAAGCGACATCAAAAATGCCAACTTTTGCTTTTGAGATGAAGCCCAGTGAGTGTATTTCTTTCATCTCGCTGTCTGATATATTTGTATATTGTTTTGCATTTGATGTAATGCCTATAGAAGCCTTTCAATGTACGTAGACTATCCTGTTGGATGTTATGTGTGTATATAGTACCCTTACTGTACAGTCCCTTCCAAACCAAAACCAGAGCTGTCTACTATACTCATCCTAGTCTTTGTTTGGCCCTGCGTCCTAAACCGGGGCCAGGCTTGCTAGCTTTTCAAAGATAACTCAAAGCTTCTATTTTTGTTAATAAAATGATTATGAAAGAAGAGTCAAAATAAAACACTCTGATCATTAATCACACTAAGACACTTTGTCACCACATTTGTTTTTGTTTTTTTGCAATACTTGTTTTCGTTACCGTTCAGTACATCTTCTGTCTCTGGAGTTTATTTTATTTGTACAAGTCGAGAGTTGACAAAAGTTTTATACTATATTTTCCTACCGAGTTGTCTCAGTGTGAGCTAATGACTATTTTCGTTATCGCAGCTGTCGGGGCTTCACTGGTGGTTATGTGCTGAACATTATGCGTGCGTGGTCTGCTTTTGTCTCTCTGTGGAGTGGGGAAAAAAGCACCTGAATGCCTCAATCCAATCAGTAAAGCTGTAGCACTCTCTTAAATCTGGCGCGGGCGGTGGGGAGGGAGGGGCACTTAAGAGGATCTACCGACTACACTTCTGGCTGTGTGTGTAGCCTTTAGTGACTTTACTGCTTTTTGTTGTTGTTGCAAACCTGGTGCTCCCTATTGTTCCCATAAGCCATGCGACAGAACACTGTAGCCCTTTCAACTAGTACTGTAAACGACTCGGTCACGACGAGTAGCATGCGCTGCTCTTACTACCAACACTCAGGAAACTCCACACACTATAATCTGCTGTATCTGTAAGATAACCCGAGACCCACACAGACGGGAAGAGAGCGTCACGGTATCATTGTCCCTTTTATATCTTGTGAATTGACATTGACGTTTCCGCTAATGAATTCAGCACAAATCACCTTTAGCCCTGATTTTTATTTGTAAATAGTGTGCGGCCACAGCAGTGGTTTGCCCCGTTTTTTTTAAAAAATGTTTTTGTTTTGGTCACTGGTCTCTGCTGCTGTCACGTTAGCAGTGGACGTTTCTTACTTACTTTGGGAGTTTATGGAGATTTTTGGAGCCTTGTTTTCAGCACTTTGTTTTTTTCTGTACCTCATAAGCCTCTATGTATGAAGAGTAAGTCAGAAAAATAATAAATTCATGGTTTGACATCATAAATGACATGTTTGCCTCATGTTTGTCTCTTTCACACCACAAGAATAATTATCCTGCAGCTATATATTTATTTCATTTATAGATGCATTTAAAGCTTATTTTGAACCCGGTATTATTGTGTTGCACACATTTGTTGTCCATTACAACCACCTGTACGAGTGAACGCGCATCTCTCCACACGCTGTTTATTCTGAGCAGTCTCCAAGGTAACTAACTGATCCTGGCATTTTTCGCCATGGCAACAAGCATCTATGCTCACTGCTGCAGAGGTCTGGCAGTTTCCATAGAAACAATTATAACGATGCTGTAATCCTTCAAACTGAAAGTCATTTTATATAAAGACAATCGGGCAATCTGAGTACTTCACTACTGCAGCTGTAGAGATGAGTCAGCTCTGACACCTTATTAAATAATTCATAAATTATATATATATAAATTAATGAATCAAATATATATAATATATGTATATCTAAATTAATAAATAAAATATAGATTAAAAAAATATGTAATATATATATAAATAAATAGAAAATATATAATATATATATATAAATGAATACATATAAAATGTATTATATATATATAAATGAATAAATAATATATATATATATATCTAAAAAATAAATATATAAATAAATAAAGCTGCAAACCAATCAGAGTTTGATTTACATCTATTTAGTCTCATAAGATGAGAGACCCAGCGCGTTATCCCCCCCATCAGTCGATGTTGCCACAGTAACGGCTGCCTGTTGCCTAGTAACGGAGCCCGCCCTCTCATCTCTTGCGCCCTCTGCGCATGCGCGTCAGCAGCCAGCTGGGGGAGCGCCTGAGGGAAAGCGGCATCATGGCGGCGTCCGCTGCTGTTAACGTGCAGTGTGGTGCAGCCTTTTTTAGCAGAGCGATGGTCCCGTCCTTGGTGGTGATTTTGGGAGCTACGGGCACCGGGAAGTCCAAGCTGGCGATCGAGATCGGCAGACGGCTTTTGGGAGAGATAATCAGCGCCGACTCCATGCAGGTAAGGGAGACGGGAGTCCTTGTCATGGCAGCCACGAGATAGCTAGTCTGTTAGCTTATCAGCTAAACTGCTAACAGACTGTGTCACTATAATGCGACCAACATTAAAAGGTCTGCAATAACTGTTACCCAACGTTAGACTACAGCAGCTGGAGGCACCGAGACACGTGTCACAGCCTCTTAAAAACACGCAGTCTGTGTGTGCGGTTTAAACGCATTACGTCATTTAAAGTCCTTCTTTAAGTCGTGCAGAACACACAGACAATAGACAACATTATGATGAATATTCTATTATCTCCTGTCCTATCTTACACATCTTGGTCTCATATGAAGACATGTTAAACTTTGACAACAAATGCAGCTCCACATGTGTCGGCCTTCTGGTGACATGCGTGGTCACGTGATCTCAGGATGCAGCGTTGTGGTGTCCACATTGATGAGAAGGAGCATGTTTTTATTAAAGTTCAGTGAGGCAGTGAGCCATGTAAACAACATTACTGTTACTGATAGTTTGGTGAGACATCGCCAAGCAAGAAACATACTTCAAACTGAAATGTCACCGTAGCAATAGAAAGGATGGTAGCATAGATAACTTCAATAAGAAGCGTGAGAAATAAGAATAAAATGTACTATACTGTATAGACAGTAGTAGTCACGACAAAGTGTATTGATCAATAACTGAATGCAAATATTTCTCTTAAAACGAAGGGAATCAGGTGATTTTTTATATATATATATATATATTTATTTATTTTTTTATTTTTTTTTTTTTTTTTTGAAACATTGATATGTTGGAAAGATATTTATTGGTTCTGTCTTTTATTGCAGTAAAAAATAATATATAATAAGCATATATAACAGGAAGTAGTTTATAAGTTTTATATGATAAGCAGTGAGACCTTAGAGATACAAATAACTTTATTGAAATCACAGGATAATACATCCTCACTTCCTCTGGTGTGTGTGTGTGTGTGTGTGTGTGTGTGTGTGTGTGTGTGTCTCTCAACGCACTCTCAGGCTTGCTCCTCTTAGCTCCGACTTCTCCCTTTAGCCCCGCCCCTCTCTCTTTTGGTTCTCAGGCTCTGTTGCTGCAGCAACCAGAGGTGCGCACACAAGAAAAAGGTTGGGCACAGGTTTGAGTCTGGGTCACACCAGAGTGGACACACACACACGCACACACGGTAACTCCACTTTATGCAGAATTCATCTCATCGAGGTCACGTCTCTCATCACCTTGCTCCTGTTTCAGCACCATCTTGCTTCCCCCCTCCTTCCCACCTCTTGGTGTGCGTTGTCCTTGTGTGTGTGTGTGTGTGTGTGTGTGTGTGTATCCATCCCTGAGGGTGCCTCTTCCAGCAGTCAACTGGTACTGGGTAAACTGGGTTACACTAATAACATTTCAGCCCAGAATATCTGAGCGACCGGCAGCCCTGGTGGAGAGAAACGGTGGCCTACTTACGGCACAGCAGCCCCGGCCCATCACCACAATCCCCGGCCTTGTTGCCACCCTCCAGTTGGAGAGAGAGAGAGAGAGAGAGAGAGAGAGAGAGAGAGAGAGAGAGAGCGAGAGAGCGAGAGAGCGAGAGCGAGCTCATGTGAGAATGGGGCTGTGTGTAGGTGAGAGCTGGCCTGTGTTGTCTTTGGGAGAGGAAACAGTCTGGTCTTGTTTGGGAGAAAGCAGCATTGTGCTGAGCTGGTGCATATTATTCAGCGCCGTGCTACGCCGGCCCTGCAGCTGATAGTGAATGGGCACGCTGTGGCCACTGGGAAGTGGTCTATTGTCCCGGTGGAGAATCGGTTCCCACACTCCCTAACACTCCTATTGTGTTATCATCCCCCCTCCCCCCCCCTGACCCATGCCCTCAGCCCACAGTTCATTGGACATGCAGGGGGATATTATTCACTCATTAAATGAACATGCTATCTATGGCACACACACAAGAGCTGTACTGTCGGTGAATGAGGTACTGGCAAGTAGTGTAAACCCATGGTTTCCAAAGTGGTGGTCCAGGGCCCAGCAGGGGGGGGGGGGGGTCCCTTCAGAGGCTTCCAGCTAAAAAACGTCACCGTTTTCTCACTGCCGAGAAGTTGGAATTATGGGAAAATGTGTGCGTGAATAGGAGCGCCGGGCCAAAATGTTCTACCACAATAGAGGCAACTTGTATATCTTGATATATCACAATATGTTTTCTGGTTATTCCAAGAATAAAAAGTCTATATGAAATGTGTGAGTTAAATACTTGACAAAAAAGTATTATAAGTGTAGGACTGTGGGAAAGAGTTCGGGCATATGTGTGGAAAAGTTTAGGATGAATGACTATGCAACTTCTGCAGCCATAGTGGACAACTTGACAACTGTATGTAAATAAATATAATAATACTACATCTAGGTCACAAGTTGCACTGATTCATGCATAAATTGAAGGATTTAAATTGTCTGAATCATGCTTTTGATGGGCTGTAATGGACGTTTGATGGTAATCACGCGTCACCTCATGACGGGGAGAGAGAGAGAGGACGACTCATCCGGGTTCGGCCACTTTGCAAAGCATTGTTGGTAATGAGAAACATTTGACGCGGACGGTAAGCGGACAGAGTGAGCGCACTTCAGAGGTGATTCATGTGAGGAGAGCTCGGACTGAAACGTTAGACCAGTTCGCTGCGATTGTCGTTCAAACGCCGCCGTGTTTAAGCCCTGCTGCACATTTCATCAGTGGAACGTACAGAGGAGTTCATTTTAAACATATTGGAGACCGTTCATGTTTCCAGTCATCGTCTTGTCTTCTGGTTCTTGCACTTTGTAATGACACAATCTTGACAAATTTGAAAATATATTCATATTTTGTAATATTGAGATTCATTTCAGCACTTGAGTCTCAGATATTTTGGTTTCTCAGGAGCCTTTGAACGCACCGGCAGGTTTTAAAAACTGTCTGTTTCTAAGTTTCAAGCGTCCGTTAACTTTGTTTTCATTGAACAGAGAAATGAATTGAAAGCAGCTAAAAGTAGGAAATGAATCTAATCATTCGTGATGCAAAGTCTACTCAGAATATGAATAAACTGGCTAAGTCACAGAAAACCACCAGCTTGATTTTGTTAATACTTGATGAAAGATTTGAATTATTTACGTTTCCTCCCTCCAAACAAAAGTCTGTGCACAGATTTCTCATTCCGACTCACTGTCACCTGTTCAGTGCGTTAACTAATAACACATTGTTGCCCCGAAAAGAGTTGTTTCACAGCAGGGAGTAAAAAGAGGGTGCGTTTGAGTTGTGTGGGCGTGTCACACGAAAGGGCCGTCCGAGGTCCTAAAGGGCGATTTAGCAGGTCATGCACACGTATGCTCCGTTACTTTAGCAGGTCATGCACACGTATGCTCCGTTACTTTAGCAGGTCATGCACACGTATGCTCCGTTGCTTTAGCAGGTCATGCACATGTATGCTCCGTTACTTTAGCAGGTCATGCACACGTATGCTCCGTTGCTTTAGGAGGTCATGCACACGTATGCTCCGTTACTTTAGCAGGTCATGCACACGTATGCTCCGTTACTTTAGCAGGTCATGCACACGTATGCTCCGTTACTTTAGGAGGTCATGCACACGTATGCTCCGTTACTTTAGCTGGTGGGACGGCTGGATGCATTGGTGGCCGGTGACCCCCTTTTTTTCTTGCTTTTTTTGTGTTTATGAAAGAAAGAGTGACGAGCAGCGGAGAGATTGCGACAAAAGCAGACAATTTGTAAGGCTCGTGGTTTTGTGTTGGATGTGAGAAATTGGCCGACTCAGCAACCTGTCATGTGTCATCTCGACCCTCAACGGTCCCATAGAAGCGGACTGAAGGAGGTCTTCTTGTAAAAGTACAAAGGGGCTGATTTGCCTTTAAGTCGTAAATTTGGAAATGTGATGGTGATGTAGCCGACTGATTTGACCGCTGCTGGGGGTATTCAAAGTTTAGGCTTATTATTGGCCAGAGGTTGTTATGCACCAACACCAACTGCTTATCTACGTATTAAACACATCCCACACTCAAATACTGTGCAGCTATGTGTTACATCCCTCTAATTTGCTCGCAGTCATCCCTCCTCCTCCATCTCTCTCTCTCTCTCTCTCTCTCTCTCTTTATATGCATGTCTCTCCATCTCTCTCTCCCTCCTCCCGGTGTCTCTCTATCTGTCTGGTGTTGCTCTGACCTGTCTGGGCTTTGGTGTATCTGTTTGTATTGTAACTCAGGCGATGCTGTGCCTCCCACATCCGATTTATGATGCATCTTTTTTAAGTAATCTAAGCCTGTGTGGGAGCGAGCCAAAAACGAGGGTTGATTAACTCTTATTTGTGTGTGTGTGTGTGTGTGTGTGTGTGTGTGTGTGTGTGTGTGTGTGTGTGTGTGTGTGTGTGTGTGTTAATATGCCGTCTGCGGGTGTGGCGGTGCGGTCACCGCCGCTACAGTAAAGCGGCGAGGAGGATGGAAGGATGGAGGAAGAGGATGAGGAACAGGAGGAGGAGGAGGGGAGGAACAACGCCATGAATGATTTATTAGTCTGGCATTACTGGGCCATTCCCCACAGAGAGAGGAGAGGAAGATGGAGGGATAAATTGTTGAAGGATAGTGCCTTGAGGGGGAAGGATAGAAGGGGCGAAAAAAAAGAGAAAAATAGGCGGATAGGTATTCTGTGGTGAGTGTAATTGAGAAAAAGATTCAGAGGGAAGGGTAGAAACAAAGCAACGCAGCTTACAGTTTGGTGTTTGGACGTGTAAAGCGTCCAGGGGTCAGAATATGGACCAAGTGTCTTCTTCTCTGGGCGACTGTAGTTGTTTTTGATCAAACATTTTAATGCAAAATAAATAATAATTGTAGTTGACCCGATACCTGTAAACGCCTCTGATACAGCCTAAAAGCCTGGATCTGGTATCGGTGAATACGCGGTCCTATGCGCCGATCCAATATCCCGACGTCGTATCATTTATCAGCTCATGTTGGCCACCACAGGAACAACGACAACTCTTCTCACTCGCTACCCGATCCCTACATACTGTGCGATCGCTACTGCATGTGTGCAAACTCGTACTACACACCTGTGGTTAAACACTCACACGTGCACCTTGTTAATGCTACATTGTGAACAGTCCTGATTGGCTAAATAATGGAGCTAACAGCTTGCGGTAATAGAGGTTGCATTGATTTATAAGGTGGACTGACCTTTTAAGGTGGACCAGCTATTCTGATTTTAGTCACAAAGCCACTCATCAGAGTGTTGCTCAGCCCTTTCTGGGATAAACCCTGCTTCCAGTCTTTGTGCTAAGCTAAGCTAACCGTCTGCTCGAGGTAACTTGATGTCTAACGGCCAGATATGAGATGTATGGTATCCATCTTCTCGGCTAACTCTCGGCAAGAAAATGAACGAGCAGCGGAAGAGAAAACTGTGCGTGGATCAGTGACATCTTGCCGATACTTGGTCTGCTCAGTGTCTGCATGTGGCACCCATAAATAATTATACAGAAGGAGGATAACGTTTCAGATCTTTTACATGGTCTGTTGTATGGTCTGTTGTGGTCATCTTCAGTCAGAAATCTCTGGTCATTTTTGCAAATATATGAAATATTGGTCTAACACTACTCTGACATATCTGTTTTATCCCCTTGATCTGCTTTTGGCTTTCTCTGAATCTTATTTTATTTCGTGTCACCATGAGTTTTCGCTCTCTCTCTTTATTTTTTTCCTCACCCCTCTCCGTCTCTCTTGCCCTCGTTCTTTCATTTGGCCATGCCCCCCCCTCTCTCCTTATTTATGTTGCAGAGGAACAGCTGTCTCGTGCAGGGCGTAAGGTTGGCCAGGCAGGCCGGCTGCAGGCTCTGCAGAGCACGAACACTGAGCTCATTGTCTCACGCACACACACACACACACACACACATTCTCCCTTACTCGCACACAAGGCCACATGGTCACATCCATTCACGTCCATTTAAAGCAAGACAGGAAGGAGAAGACAGCTGAACCCACACTATACTGGCTTTCCATTGAAGTTTATGGCCGTGAGTTATGACGTGTGGAATTAGAAAAGCTGACCGAGAAAAGCGCATCGCTGAAACATTTCTTCTTCTCAGAAAACACTCCTTACACTTCCTTGAGTATTTTTCATTGATAATGAAATGACACCACACGATAAGATCGGAACATTTATGAAAAAAACCTCTTAGAAATTATGGATTTTCTAGTTTAGTCCTCAGTTGGCGTGAAACATGACCAGCATCAGCTGAAACCCGGCACACATTTGGTCAATAAGTCATTCATTCTTTTATTTTCCTCCAGAGGACATGTGTAAACACGATTAGCTATGTTGTTTTTTTTAGCTTTGGTTCCTTTATGACTGAGCTTCAACACCACTGCAATTTGTAGTTTGTTTCCACCGCCTCGACTACAAGTCTTCCTCATTTCCCCTCTCATTTGCAGCTCCCCCCTCAAAGCATTTTTCTCCTCATATCTTCCGCTCAAGTGGCTCTTTTCATTTTTCTGATTCACCCTCCACGGTCTTCCTCTGCCTGCTCTCACTCTCGGGTCTCCTTGTGCTCGTTAAAGCGAAATTAAAATCAAAATCTTGTTTATGCAAAGCTCTCGCGCAAGAACGCATAAATGCACATCGAGGAGCCAAAGTGTTTTAAGAAAGGATGGAGATGAGAGGAGGAGAGTTGGAAGAAAAGGTTCGTTTTAGCCGCGTTAACACCGAAAAGTTCCTGGTAATTTTAATCCCGGGTCTACTTTTCAAGGAAGTATTGACTACTGATCCATGTGGGAAGACTAAAATGAAACTGTCTCCACAGTAAATGATCTGCTGAGCGTTTGATGGGTATTTATTTGTTTAACTGCCGTAAAACAATCAGAAAATAATGTTTTTCTGTCTTTACAGCACCGTTCTCTCTCTCTTCTACTGCTCTCTCTTTCTCTCTCTGTCTTTTTAAAGATGAATCGGGAAGCCGAGCGCAAAGCCTGACTTTACTTTAAATGTTAACATAAAAAAGAAAAAGGCTCTCCCCTCGTCCTAACACGGTCCTAAACCGATCAGTACCAGAGTTCTTCCTTGTTTCACGAATGAAGCGCCACACAAGTGGAGGCAGCGGCGCTCTGTGTGTTTTCGACCAATCGGCTGCGTCCGTCGTCCCTGCAAACCTCAACCCGAAAGTTCCTGTACTTTGGTAGCCATTTTATAGCTCTCAGTCACATCACATGGTCTTCTTCAGCAGATGGAGTTTCCACAGAATATAAACTTTTTGAGTCAAGATGGACGAAAAAATGAGCGCGTGTGTGTTTTTAAAGAGAGCTTTTGTCTTCTTGTCGTCATGTGAGGAAGTGTGTTAAGTTGGGAGGTTTGTGGCTCAAAATGAGACACACATGACTCTTACTCACTAACTCTCTCTCTCACACACACATGAATCAGATGCCAACCTCTCTCTGTCTCCGAGAGCATCTCTATCTGCCTTTTTCTCACCATCGTTCTGCTGCCTGTCATCCTGTCTTCACTGTACAATCTGTGTGAGGAGAGGAAGAGAGCGCCGCGAAGGCAGAAGAGGCGCGGTTTGTGGATAATGTGTTCAAATTTGTCAGAGAGCATCCTGTCCTCTCCAACAAGCACACAGCGCTCTTCTGTTTCCTCCTCTCCGCTGCTGTTTTTTAGAGAAAAACAATCCTTTCCAAAAAAGACTCTTTCGAGCCTTCATTTGATCTCCATCTCCTTCATCTGTCCATCCATCCATGCACCCCCCCC